GGCGGAATCAGTGGCTGAATCAGGACGCCTGGGGCAGAGCAGGTGGGGTGCTGCTGGGTTGGTCCAGTAGCGCCGAGGAGCGGCCGCGCTACTGGACCAACCCAGCAGCGAGGCAGAGTTGCTCTGCCCCGGGCTTCCTGGAATCAGCTGCTGATCAGTTTCAGCAGCAGCTGACTTGGGGACACCTGGGGTTCTTAAGTTGAATCTGTATGTAAGTCAGAACTGGTGTCCAGATTCAGCCACTGTTGAAACTGATCAGTTTCAGCAGCGGCTGAATCTGGAGCCAGTTCCGACTTACATACAGATTCAACTTAAGAACAAACCTACAGTCCCTATCTTGTACGTAACCCGGGGACTGCCTGTATTGGCAATCTGCACAATGAAATATAGACATATGTTTTTAATATAGAAAATAATCACTATTAGATCATGATTTCCTGATCATTCCCCTGGCCAGTAACAGTTGAAGGTTCCCATAGCTAGCATCTAAATAAGCTTGCAAAACACGGATATTTTATTGCTCAGTTTGTATTCTGAATCTTCATAAAAAGCATTATACACAGTCACTGAACACAATGAATTAAAACTGAGAAAGTATTGTCATCTCATAATGAATTGGAGTCTTGCACTGATGATTACATTGTTTATAGCAGAGCTGCTTTTGCTTCATTATTTTGGCAGTTACCAAACCCAGATCTGTAGACCAAGCTTTGTATGTTCTTTAAAGAGTCTTTCAAAGGGATAGGAACACACGTGGTTAACATTTCTGATGTTTCCAAAACCTGGGGCAAGTGAGGCTAAGCATTAAAACTGCAAAATTCTGTCGTCCAGCCAAATAAGACAGACACTGGATTGGAATTTCACTTAAAATCTGCATGATACCATCTCCAAAGGCAAGCAGGACAAATATCCTCCATCTGACAGATAATTTGTTGAGGATAATTTAATGTTTAGCTCTTCTGACTCAAGCATATTTGTACTCCAGGAACAGATGCATGTAATTCAGCCACACCAGAGAGAAAGGTTTATGACTGTGTCCCCAGTCTGGCTATACCAATGTCACAGCTTTTGAGAGAGAATCTAGAAGTTGATAATAGCTGTATTTCAAGTCATATTCCATGTCATACCAATAATTCACTGAGGAGACAAGAGAAAGGAAATTTGTTATAGTCTAGCATTAGAAATGCCTTATGGCCATAGTCATATACTGCTTTAGATGGTAATAAAGGCACACATTTCTCAGGACTGCATGAACTTTAAAAGAACCCCAGCTCTGACTGGAGACAAGCATAATGCGGACAGGCAGTGAGTCACCATCTGTTACAGATATCTGCCAAAGCACCTCATCCCTAACCCACAATAACCCCAGAATACCAGTCCTTGGATTCTTCCGAGTAGATTTGCAAAATGTTTAGAAACAGAAAATATCTGCCAAGGATATAAATTCATTTTAATATATGACTTACTGTAGATTTGAACCTCTCTCTTCCCATTAATCCATCATTTGGTGCATTAATCCATCATTTGGTCATCAGTTGGACAGCATTTTAAATTCTGACTTACCCATTCATTTTCATTCTTTTTATCATGCTACGGCAAGTACTAAAATAAATGTCTCCAATATCTGCAAGCAGTGTTTTGCATTTGATCTCATAACTGGGTTGATGTTATTCAACACTCATTAGTTACTTGTTTTTGATCTGCATGGACGGAGTTGCTGCTCTAGCTATGAGTCTTTCCTTGCACCCTCATAATACAGACATTAATGGTGTAGGTGTGTAAAAGGAGAAAAGTTTGAAAGACTAGTGCTCTCCAAGAAAAAGCAACATATGATAGCCTATGAGTGGAGAGCGGAAGAGATTTTTGTTAAAGGGTTTGACGAGTAACTCTAGACCCGTGGTTCGCAAACTTTTCGACATCATGCCCCTTTTTAATTTTTGAAAACCCCTTGCGCCACCGCCCCCCCCCAAAGCAAAACTTGTTGGGGAAAAAAGGGGGGGGGGAACTGACCGGGGCAGCAAGCAAAACTTGATGTGGGGAGGGGGGGCAGTTGGTTGCCTCGCGCACCCCTCTGGAATTTCTTCACACCCCCCTCAGTTTGGAAACTCATGCTCTAGACAGTGCTTGGTCCTGGATTTGATGGCAGGGAACTGGATTTGATGACCTCTCAAGATCCCTTCCAGCTCTAGTGTTCTATAATGCTATGAACCTTTTTGATGGTTTTCTTTTATGCATTAGACACTCATTTTTACTGGTCTGATAACACTTAAAAGTCAAATGTCTTTGCTCAGTTTCATAGGATCATAGAATACTAGAACTGAAAGGGACCTCAAGAGATCATCAAATCCAGTCTCCTGCCCTCATGGCAAGCACCGTCTAGATGATCCCTGATAAGTGTAGGTTGGATAAACATCTAAGTATCTCCAGTGATGGTGATTCCACAACCTCACAATTTGTTTTAGTATTTAACCACCCTCATAGTTAGGAAGTTTTTCCCTAATGTCCAACTTAAACCTCCCATTGCTTCTTGTCCTATCATCAGAGGCCAGGAGAACAATTTTTCTCCCTCCTGCTCCTTGTAACACTCTTTTAGATACTTGAAAACTGCTAATATGTTTGCTCTGTCTTCTCTTTTCTAAACTAAACAAGTCCAATTATTTCACTCTTCCCTCATAGCTCATGTTTTCTAAGCCTTTAATCATTTTATTTTTGCTCTTCTCTGGACTTGCTCCAATTTTTCCACATCTTTCTTGAAATGTGATGCCCAGACCCGGACACAATACTCCAACTGAGGCCTAATCAGAGTAGAGTGGAAGAATGACTTCTCCTGTCCTGTTCACAACACTCCTGTTAATGCATCCCAGAATCATGTTTGCTTTTTTTGCAACAATGTCACACTGTTTACTCATATTTAGCTTGTGGTCCACTATGACCGCTAGATCCCTTTCTGCAGTACTCCTTCCTAGACAGTCGCTTCCCATTCTGTTAGGCTATGTCTAGACTGCAAGACTCTTTCGAAAGAGGCTTTTCCGAAAGATACTTTTGAAAAAGCCTCTTTTGAAAGAGAGTGTCTAGAATACAACCAGTACTTTCGAAAAAGCAAGCTGTTTTTTCGAAAGAGAGCACCCAGGCAGTCTGGATGCTCTCCTTCGAAAAAGCAGTTTGCATTACTTAGCACCTTTTTTCAAAAGAGCACTTTCCAAAAGAGGCATTATTCCTCGTAAAATGAAGTTTTCTGTGGTCAAAAAAGCTGCCGCGTTCTTTCGATTTACTTTCGAAAGAACGCAGCAGCAGTCTAGATGCAGGCGAAATTTTTTAAACTGAGAGGAACAAAGTCATCATGTAGACAAGGACACAACAGCTGCCTGGCTACATAATAAGTGTTGCCAAATGCACCATGTAAAACTGAACACAAAAAATATTTCCCTAATGTTATTTGTCCAGACCATTTTGAATTATGACACTAGTCTCCAATGCACTTGCAACCCCTCCCAGCTTGGCATCATATGCAAACTTAATAAGCATATTCTCTATTACATCATCTAAATCGTTGAAGACATTGAACAGAACTGGCCCCAAAGCAGACCCCTGCAGAATTTACCAGCATGACTGTGAACTGTTAATAACTACTCTCTGAGAACAGTTATCCAAATAGTTATGATCCCACCTTATAGGAGCCCCATCTAGGTTTTATTTCTCTAATTTATTGATAAGAAGGTCATGTGAGACCTATTCAAATGCTTTACTAAAGTTTAAGTATACCACATCCATCACTTCTCCCTTATCCTCAAGGCTTTTTATCCTATCAAAGAAAACTATCAAGATTGGTTTGACATGATTTGTTCTTTACAAATCCATGCTGGATGTTACCTATCACGTTCTTATCTTCCAGATGTTTGCAGATGAATTCCTTAATTACTTGTTCCATTATCTTCCCTAGCACAGAAGTCAAACTGACTGGAATGTAGTTTCTTGGGTTGTTATTATTTCCTCTTTCTATAGATAGGCACTATACTTGCCCTTTACCAGTCTTCTGGTATCTCTCCCGATTTCCATGACTTTTCAAACATGATAGCTAAAGACTCAGATACAACCTCTATCAGCTCCTTCAATAGTCTAGGATGCATTTCATCAGGGCCTGGTGATTTGCAGACATCTAACTTTTCTAAGTAATTTTTAACTTTTTTTTATTTTAACTTTTAAACATACCCAATTTCCTCTAGCATCACTATGTTAGGCATCCCATCATAATTGATCTTCTTGACAAAAACTGAAACAAAGAAGTCGTTAAGCACCTTTGCCATTTCCAAGTTTCCTGTTCTTTGCCTGTGATGTGGAGACAGCCAATTTGCAGCCAATCACATAACCTGCTTAGCTCTGACAAAACAAAGTATGATGGTGGTGACTGAGTAACGGCTCTCTTTCTGTAGCCTCAAGGACTAGTTGATTTTTCCTACCTTCTTCACCCATTTCACTACATTCTTAAGCAATTCTATATAAGATATCCTCAGAAAAGTCTGTGTCAGGATGTAACACTACAGTCACATGCCAAGATGGCAAGCTCTACCAGGGATGAAGAAGAAAAGACTTTGTGAAAGTCTGCTACCCAACCATGTTTTGCAAGAGAAAACGGACTATGCAATCATAGACGGAATATATGTTTGTCCTTAACAGCTGTTCTTACCTGCAATACATCCATGAGACTGCTGAACATGATGAAACCAGAGAGAAGGGAGGTACAACATTTCACCAGCTTTCACTGTACACCGCAAAGGCCTTGCCTGGGCATACTCTGGATATTGTTCCAGATCTGGTTTTAAAGGATCCAACGGAATCCATGGCACCTGCCGTGGAAGAGTGTAGAACATGTGGCATTTAACGAGAGAAGATTTTAGGGTCTCCCAGAAAATAGTGAATAAATAAAAACATTCACTTATTGAGCTTGTAAATAAAATGTACTTTGAAACCAGAAAATATATAGATGTAAATCCTATCAAAGAAAACTATCACCTTACCACATTACAAAATACTCCTTTCAATAAGACATAATACTTGGTAAATGGAATGCTCTATCACCAACAACAGACTCTGGGGACACTGTTTTGGGCACAAGAAAAGGGATCTGATTGATTGTGACAGAGGTTACATGGCAGGAAATAGACCTGGGATAGAAAACAGATAGAGGGAAAGAAGGTACTTGTGAAGAAGTGATTAGTTAAGCAAGACATGGTTAGCCTATTGGCAGGCAGTATGAAGGCCCATAAAAGCAGATAATAGTGTGAGCTTGGTTCACCTACAAATTGCTGTGTGATACACTTATGCCAATATTGAGGAAAGAAGTAGGACCTCTAAACACTGAGGATGGGATGGAGACTAAAGATAATTTAGGAATAACCCAACACCAAAACAGAGACTGTCTCTCAGTTTTTATAAGGGAAATAAAGAGCTTAGGGGTAGGAGTAGGGAAGCTAATGGAAACAAGTATTTGGAAGAAGAAATTACATCTGAGGTGGAATTTAAACTAAATCAGTTTAATAGTACCAAATCAAAGGACTCAGATAACTACCAGTCAAAAATATTACAGGAACTAGCGTATGAAATTGCTAGCCCAATGACAAGCATTTGTAATTAATACTAGGGGGCTGTGCCCCCTGCTTGCTATGCTCGCCAACCCCCCTCTCTCTGGAGGTAGGTAGCCCCAGCTCTCCCCCAGCCATTGGAGAGGGCCAAGCCGAAGCATGGCAACCTCCTCTCCCCCGCCCTGGCTGCTGAGATGGGGTTGCCCCAAGGCTAGACGAACCCCATCTCTCTCCCCGAGGCCGCTGGGGGCGAGGGGGGGCCATGCCCCACGCTCTCCCTCCAGCCGCCCGGGGGAGGGGGGATGAGGAAGAGGGGAGCCCAGCTCTCCCCCAGCCATTGGAGAGGGCCAAGCCGAAGCATGGCAACCTCCTCTCCCCCGCCCTGGCTGCTGAGATGGGGTTGCCCCAAGGCTAGACGAACCCCATCTCTCTCCCCGAGGCCGCTGGGGGCGAGGGGGGGCCATGCCCCACGCTCTCCCTCCAGCCGCCCGGGGGAGGGGGGATGAGGAAGAGGGGAGAGTCCTAGCTCCCGCCCCCTCCCCTCCCCCCTGAGAACTTGGGGAGCAGGGAGGCCGCGGTGTGGCAGCGGAGAGGAGGAAGGGAGGGAGTAGGTAAGAGGGATTCGAGAACTTGGGGAGCAGGGAGGCCGCGGTGTGGCAGCGGGGAGGAGGAAGGGAGGGAGTAAGTAAGAGGCATTCAGAGTGACATGATGACATCACTCTGTCATCCCGCAGGAAAACATTTTTTGTAAGTGTGGGGTTTGTAATCTGTGACTGGTAAATTGGTAATATATGACTTATTTTCAAGGAAGGAAAAAAGAGTGATCTGGAAAACTATAGGCCTATTAGTTTGACCTAAACTGAATGCAAGGTCCTGGAACAAAATTCGAAAGACAGCAGTTAAACACAGAGATAAACTGTAATTGGGATAAAATACATCATGGTTTTACAAAAGATAGATCATGCCAGATCCACCTGATCCAGGTCCACCTGATCTCTTCGAGAAGATAACTGGTTTTTCACACAAAGAAAATGCAGCTCTAATCTATGTGGATTTCAGTATGGCATTTGATACAGCACTACATGGGAAGTTATTAGTTAAATGATTAAAAGACAGAGATAAATATGAGAACTAAAAGGCAGATAAGGAACTGGTTAAAGGGGAGACAAGAATGGGCCATAGTAAAAAGTGAACTGTCTGTCCGAAGGGAGATCACAAAATTGAGTTAATATCATATGAGAAGACCTGGAGGACCTTGAAAATGGATGTAACACAAATGGAATGAAATTCAATATAGGCTGAACCACTCTAGTCCAGCACATTCTAGTTTGGCAACATTATATCCATTTATCATTGATGTGGCCAAGTTTCTCATGATCCCATATGTTTTGTTTACTACCACCAGTCCTGGCGCTCAGTGTTCTGTGCTGTTATTTAGCTTTAATTTATCTCTAAATGTCTTCTAACAGCCCAGTAAGCAGCGTTAGTAATGCTACTAGACAATATTGACATCCTGTGGGAGAACAATGTCTCTGGTTTGGCACCAGTCAGGTCCCATGTGTGCTGGACAAGAGAGGTTCAACCTACAGTCATAAATGTAAGATCATGTGCTTAGAGTCTACCATAACAAATTTTTATGAGCTTGGGGTGTATTGGTTGGAAGTGACAGAGGAAAAAGACCCAGGTGTATTGGTTGATCGTGGGATGATAAGCCACCAGTGTGATGCAGCCATGAAAAAAGGTTGATGTAATCCTAAAATGAATTAGTTAAGCTATTTCCAGTAGACACACGGATGTGGTACTGTTATTATAAAAGGCACTAGTAAGACCCTATCTGGAATTGTGTGCACAATTTTGGTTTTCCATGTATAGGAAAGATTATTTCAAACTGAAATAGGTGCAAAGAATGACTACTAAAATAATCTGAGACAGAAAACCTACATTATGGAGAGGACAATCAAAGACCTTGACTTGTTTAGCTGAACCAAACAAAAGCTACGGGGTGACTGGTTGATCTCTACATTGCAAGAATAATTTCTCTACCTTCTTGGTATTTAAGAACCGATGAGGACATCAAAGCAAATAGACGAACTGGTATTGAACAAGTTTAGGCTTGAAATTAAACGAAAGTTTCTAACCATCAGTAGTGATGTTCTGGAACACCCTTACAAAGAGTAATAAGGGGGGAAATATCTAACTGGCTTCAAGACTGAGCTTAATACATGTATGGAAGGGATGGTATGATTAGACTGCCTACACTGGCATGTGGCCCATCTGCAATTAGTAGGAGGAAAAATCCCCAGTGGCTGAAAAAGGGGTACCAAATGGGGAAGACTCAAGTTATTACAGAGAATTCTTCCCAAGGATTGGCAGGTGGGTCTCGCAGACACACACAGGCTTCACGTGATCACCATGTTTGGGGCTGGGAAGGAATTTTTCCCCAATTCAGATAGGCAATGATCCTGGGGGGCAGTTGTGTCTTCCTCTGCAGCATAGGAAATGGGTCACTTGGCAGTTTAAACTAAAGTAAATGGTGGATTCTCTATCATTTGAAGTCTTTAAATCATGATGTCACTAACTCTGCCAGAGGTTATAGTTCTATTACAGGATGGGGTTGGTGGAGGTCTGTGGTGAAGGTGGTCAGACTACATGGTCACAGTAGTCCCTTTTGGCTTTAAAAATGTATGAGTTCAGAATAAACTGCAAAATGTTATAACTGAAATCTTTATTGCTCCTTATCCTGTTTTTTTGTCATCTAAAAATGAACTGTAAGCTCCATGTACTTAATAGCCAGCATTACCATAGTACCTAAGTACCTTCCACTCTAACATATTTACCTTCACAGCACCTCCATGTATTATTACTGAAGTATTAGCCTCATTTTATATCTGAGGAACTGAGGTGCAGAGAGGCTGAGTGACTTGCTCAAGGTCACCCAGGATATCTGTGATGGAACAGGAAAATGACCCAGACTAGGGATGTAAAAGAGTCTTTGATTAGTCGACTACTTGCATGTCCCCAGAAGGGGGGGGGGGGTGCCCCACAGGAAGTGGTGCTGGGGGGAGTTGACTTAAAAGCCAGTTTCCCTCACCCTGCTGCAGCTCTGCCTTTTAAATGTAGTAAGTGCCAGGCAGCTCTTACTAAATTTAAAAGGCAGGGTCACAGTAGTCTTAGAGCCAGCGCGTACCGGGACTGCTCAGTCTTAGTTCACGTTTGGCTTTAAAAATGTATGAGTTCAGAATAAACTGCAAAATGTTATAACTGAAATCTTTATTTAAAATGCAGAGCTGTAGCAGTCCTGGAGCCAGCACAAGCCAGAATTGCTCAGTTCTGGCTCGTGCCAGCTTCAGGAGCCACCCGCGCTGCAGCTCTGCAGAGCACCTCCTCTTATCGAGAGATACAAATTGTAAAAACTACACTATAAGACAAATACCCCCTCCTTAACATCCTTAACCTGGACCCTCCAAGTGCTACACCAGCACCTTATCTTTCCCCTCTTTGGATAATATCTGTATACGTTTTGTATGGTGCCTGTTCTTGGTCATTCTGACCAAATAATAATTACTAGTACAAAGAAAATATGCTTTGCTTATACCAATAACTACATTTTATGGCACAAAAAGATATTTTTGTAGGATGAAATTCACCCCTATGCAGAGGGACAATAAACAGTGTATGCAGAGCAGTGAAATTCACTCTTAATGAGTAAATTCCTTTATTTGATATTATTTAAAAAGACTAGTAATGAATCGGTTTGTGTTCAGCACACAGAAAACATTATTTTGAAAGGCTATTCTTTTAATAGCTATTGCTTTAAATGGTTCCCAGCGTGCAGTTAAAACTTGCAAGAGGACACAGGGTGTGGTGTATTACCTGAAATGACCTAACTAATTTTTTAAAAATTCACTGATTGATAAGTTGATGGTGTTCCTTTAATACAAAGATGTAAGTACCTTTTCTGCAGCCTTCTCATCCACAACCTGAAATGAACCATCTTCTGATATACAATAGGTTGCAGGTAGGTAGAGCTCTGCAAGTATAAAGCATGGAAAAGATTAAACAGCATTAATCTTCATAATAAATACAGAGTCTTAGTGGCACAGTATTTCACACTTTCACAGATGGATGCAAATATTAAGATGACATCACACAACCACTATTTTCAGTTTTCTTTCTTCGCTTTGTTCATTCTGTGACCCTGTCTTCCAATTTCTGCCCTCCCTATTACCAGCTCTGCACTCTGCTTACTCCACAACATTCACCAATGCCTCCCTTTTCTTGGGCTCTGTCCTTTCTTCCTTCAAATTAGTTGTTTTTTCCTCTTTCCTTACTACACTCCTTTACATTTTCTTTATCCTACTCTGTTCCAGTTACCATCCCGTTTTCCTTTCCAAGTCCACAACTTCTCCTCTATCTTACCCAGCATTCTATTCTTCATCCTTTCTGCTTAGGTCATTCTACCTAGAGAGCTCTCACTAGAGATCTCAATGACTTGTAGCTATCCTTTCACTTCTAATTTTATCTTATTTGGCTTATCAATCATTTAAGAAAATCTGAGTTGCTCTTCTTTCATTGTTTCAGTGCCTGTGGCATTTAACTCTGTACTTAATAGTTCTCCTTCTGATCTTTAGATATGATCCGCCTTATTCCCACAGATTAAGGAATGTCAACAAAGTCTTAGCTCTTGCAGGTTTTGCAAAAGGCAGATCAAATGATGTAAGTTTCAAACAATACCAAAGTAAGAAATAAAATGGTAATATATAAAAATAAACACATACACTCCCACTCAAACTGACAGTCTCACATCAGGGTTACAAATGTAATGGCTCAGAAATCAGAGAGTAAAAAAAAAAACAATTAAGTTTGTGAGAAGGTTCATATTGCCCATCTTGTATGTCAGATTGTATACATTTAATATAAACATAAATATTATTGTGCATGTGTGAAACAGAGAAATCAAAAATAAAAACTGTATGTAATGTGGCCAAGTTAATGTTACTATAATAACCTTATTGTGTTAGATTTCAGCAGTTACATTTGTAACTTAAATATTTAATTAATGTACATATTTGTATTTCATTTCCCTGCTTTTTCCAGAAAGAGAATTAGCAGGAGGAATCAAGAACTAATAGGCATGAGAAAACTGCACACTTCACTGCAGATATTTTAATAATTCTAAAGCTGTAGGAATTCCAGCCAATCACATACTTCAAGTACAGACCCGGGGCCAGATCCTCAGCTGGTATAAATCAGAGTAACTCAAGTAAAGACGATAATTTACATCAGCTGAGGATCCAGCCCCAGGAATATAAATCTATTACTAAATACTTGCTATGTAGAGTAGTATAGAGTTCTATTCATATTACAAAATGTAACACTGCAGAAATGAATAGAACACTCATCCTTTCTCTCCCTTCCATTACTTTAGCCCCTTCTCTTCTCCACACATACACACACTCTAAAGCATGTACCGTAGGGGATGAAGGGGCGATCACTTGGTGGGTGCAGCAGAAAATGTTTCTCACCAGAAATCACACAGTACAAATTCTCATAGTGATCTTTATGTACTAAAATTGAGAAAAAAGAAAAAAGCACCACATCACAAACTGTAGCAAACTGAAAGCAATAGTTCTTCTTGGTAGTATTAGGCTGCTTCTTCTTGTTGTAAGGGAAAGAAAGAACGATAAAATAATATTTCATATGCATGCATCACTTTTCAGTCAAAAGGACTCCAAATCACTTCATCTACAACATATAGGGTATGTCTAGACTACATCCCTCTGTCAGCAGAGGGGTGCAGAGGGGATTTAAATATCCCGTGCTTAATTTGCATAAAAATGGCCACCGTTTTTGCAGACTCAGCACTTTGTCGGCAAAAAGAAGCAGTTTAGAGGGGGATCTGTCAAGAAAGAAAGACTTTTTTGACAGATCCTGTAAACCTCCTTGCAGGAGGCATAAGGGATCTGTTGAAAAAGGGTTTCTTTCTCGACAGATCCCCCTCTAGACTGCCCCTTTTTGATGACAAAGTGCTGAGTCGGCAAAAACAGTGGCCATTTTTATGCAAATTAAGCACGGGATATTTAAATCCCCGCTTCATTTGCGATGTCGACCTCTCTAATCTGCACCCCTCTGCCGACAGAGGGATGCAGTCTAGACATACCCATAGCGAGCACCATAGAAAAACAGTCACTTCTGAGGTGGAACCTGGCAACCAACCTGCTCAGAAACACATTGATTAACAGTTTGCTGGCAGACAGGAATTTTGATTAGTGCCTACTGTTAGGAACATGATCTGAGATGTTCAGTGTCCAAGCAGCAGATATTACCTCTGCTTGGAAAGTCTCATCCAAAATACCCATACATAGAGCAAATTGTACGGTACTCAATCTACCTCAGAAAAATAAAGGCTTGAGTCAACCATTCCAGGAACTGAATCTGTGATTCCAGAGAGTAAATATATTTCAAACTGGATGACTACACTGCTAAATTATCCATTTCTGCTCTGCTCTTATCTCAAAAATCACAGAGAAAGGAGACGGTCATGGCAAAAAAAAGAGAAACAGGAGCTGCCATATCGCCTCAGACCAGTGATCTAAGAAGTTCAATCTCCAAAGTACTGTATGGAAGTTGCTAATAAACTTCAGAAGAGAAAAATACCCATACTATTTTTAATTGTGCAAAGTATTTAGGTGGGGGAGAATCCTTCCTAATCCCTATTAGCAATTAGCTTGAACTATGAAGCATGAGACTGAAATTGATTGCTTTACTGTAAGCCAAGGTCCAAGATTTACAGGGCAGAAATGTTTAATATTCCACCTGAAACAATAAGCTGGATGCACATACAAATACAACAACCAAGTGCTGGGACAAGGCGGGTAGAAAGAAAGATCATTACATCTGTAAATGTCATTTAAAGGAGAAGCTATCTATAAGTATAACTGGAGGATTCCCCAAAGAGACCTACCCCTTAGCCATCAAAACAAGCATATCAAAATCTGAATTGAGGGCACATACAAGACATGACAGCATCATATGCTACGCACAAGATGTCACAGCAGTAGACTCGCCAAGCCAGAAATTCACAGCATCAGGCTTCTTTCCTGCAAGAGGAAGAAAAGGAAGTAATTTTCAACAGAAAATTAATATGAATGCTACATTTAAAGAGTCACAGATAAAGATTTTTCTGCCAACTCAGTTTGTTTACATTCCCCACCTACCTCAGTAAATATGTCAGCCTTGACTGCGGATAGCTAATAATTATGAGCTCCTTCTAGACTGAAGGTTGTTGCAGTGACCCATCCAACTAACCGATGGAGCATTATTCATCCGCAAGGCTATGCTTATGACTCTGAGCTCCAATTTTCTGGAGACTTGAGTCCACAACACATAGCTCAAATCACAAACTAGCAGTTCATGTGCCATATAGGGATGTTAAAAATCATGTAATGGGATAACCACATAACCGCTGGAAAAAAACCTCAACAGTTACATGGTTACCCACTGTGCGGGCTCTGCAGTACAAATCTTAGCCCGGGAGTGGAGCTGGCAGCCCTTGCCCACCAGGCTCCCACCGCTGGAAAAAAACCTCAACAGTTACACGGTTACCCACTCTGCGGGCTCTGCAGCCCTTGCCACCAGGCTCCTGAGGAGCAGTTTCACTGCCCTGCCACAGCGAAGCCATCTGCCCAGGAGGCTAAGTAAACCGACACCATTAACCAATAAGCATCCACTTATCGGTTAAACAGTTAGTTGTGACATTCTTACATCCCTAGTACCATAACCCCAAAGAAATCAGGACACACACAATAAAAAGGACATTTTGAAGGAATGACTCATGCTCTATCAGGAAAGTTAACTGTAATGGACAATCCTTTACTATCATAAGGAAACACCTTCAACGTCACAAGGGGCAGAAAGGAAATATTACACAGTACCCTAGGGTACTGTATGAGCTTTAAAAAAATTCCCCTTTTGCTATCAGTTTAGCCTCACAAGTGGGAGCAACAGCACAAACAGAGCTCTTGGATAGCATGCAGTTTAGCCTCACAAGTGGGAGCAACAGTAAAAACAGAGCTCTTCGATAGCACGGTGGTTTGAGTACTGGCCTGCTAAACCCAGGGTTGTGAGCTCAATCCTTGAGGGGGCCATTTAGGGATCTAGGGCAAATCTGTCAGGGACCGTACTTGGTCCTGCTGTGAGGGCAGGGGACTGGATTCAATGACCTCTCAAGGTCCCTTCCAGCCCTATGAGAGAGAGGTTATAAACATAACCCTGGGAATCTGACAACATTTTAGCCAGTTGTGAAGGGAGCATATATTAGTATAATGGTGCAGTTTCACACTCTTTGAATTCACTAAGCAAGCAAGCTGTTTGGAGTCTCTAATCCAAAGGGCAAGGCTAAATTATTTTACTAACCCCTCCTTCCTGAGTTGACAAACCTACATTAACCTGTGACAATTAGAAATATAACAGGAGACAGGATTGGCCTGCTAAATCCAGGGTTGTGAGTTCAAGCCTTAAAGGGGCCATTTGGAGTAAATCTGTCAGGGATAGTACTTGGTCCTGTTGTGAGAGCTGGGGACTGGATTCAAGGTCCCTTCCGGCTCTGAGATAAATATATGGAAATATACCTAACAAATATTTAGCATGTAAACATCACATAAGTTTAAAGTGGTATAAAAGTCTTCACTGATCACAGAGGGTGTTTACCAAGTGCCTCACTCATCCATGGTATCTCAGGCTCCACATCACCTAAAAGTTCAGGGAATTCCTCAGTCAGGTTTGAACACTGCTTCTGAACATAGAATATACTTGAAGAGGTCACTTTCTTCTCCATAATGTCCAAAAAGTTGCTGAAAAGCATGTGCCTCTCCTCTGGCATGACAAAACGGTCCTGATAAACAGCATCGGCGTAACCATTTGGTGTCACTGCCACACTCACCATTTTGGCACCTGTTACCTTCCTGCAAAATATATTTGAGGTTCAGAGCTAGTTGAGAAATCTACAAACATATTCTTTAGATCATTTTTTTATCCACAATTTGCTCTTTGGATGTACCCAGAAATACTCTCTCTTGTACATAAAAGTTTAAATTACTGAATTTCATGTGCACTCCCAGCTGATTTTTTAAAAACAAAGTGAGGCTTTTTAATTGGCTGGGCTGGTAGCACCCCACCGGCAGCTTGGTGGACCCAACCGGAGGCCTCGTAACTGATTACCCCGGTAAGCATGCCAGTAAAGCAAAGCTTACCGAGTAACCGGTTAACCCTTTACATACCTATGCCACACACACGTTTTGGCACACACAATTAAATCTCCCATAGCCATTAATGGAACTAAGTACAGTACAGTAGTTTGGGGAAGAAAGTAACATCTGAATTTTGACTCTGTAGCTGGCATGCCCAATAGAAGTCTTCACCTAAGATTGCAGGTTCATTTGAGCCAGTATTTTTATTATTAAATAATAATAATAATCAGGGCTCGCTGAACCATGGCGAGCCCCACTCGCCAAACGCACTGTTGTGCAGATCGCCCGAACCTGGCTCTTCCGGGTTGCAATCTACTCGCCACGGGCAAGTAGATTGTATTATTTGTCGAGCCCTGATAATAATAATATTCTTTTTAAAAGAGAACCAAAAAGAAACTCTCTTCTGATGGCTTGAAGGTTCAGTTCAGCTACTGCTGAATTTCAAAGCTGATTCCTACCTGAGATAAGGTAACGTCCACTTCTTCAGAGCTGGCCAGTGACTGAAGGCATTCCGAATTATACATGGCTTGTTTGGACAAACCCACTCCCGATAAAATTCCAGTGGAGACAGAAGGCTGTCTATGTATGGCACAGATTCCGTCAGTCCCAATTCTGCCCAGATAAAGACAAATGAATCTCACAGAAGTCTTGAAACCATTTCATGCCATTTTAAACCATCTCTATACTGATTCTAATGAGTTTCAAAACAAGTTAGAAAGTTTCTCCAGTGTAGATAGGACCATCCCTACATGCAGTGGCTCTAGCTGAGCACTGGTCATGCTGTACACTAGAATTTGTAGTCTCCAAGTGCCAAAACCCTACCTACAAGGTGGTCTTCAGTGTCAGGCTCAGCATATGCAAATCCACACAACTGGCCACAACTTGTTTCAGCCTATCAGCTATTGTGATTAATTTCCCACATGACAATACTTCATGCAGACCAGTGTTTCTTAAACTTTTTAAGACTGAGGAACATCAAACAATTTTTTTTATGAGGAACACCAAGAATTTTTTTTGGTGGTGGTGGTGGTGGTGGTGGTGAAGAAGAATAGTAGTAGTCAGGTGGAAAGTAATTGAGGAAAATCACCAAGAATTTTTTTTGGTGGTGGTGGTGGTGGAGAAAAATAGTAGTAGTAAGGGGGAAAGTAATTGAGGAAAAAAATCACCTGCCCCTTTAAGAAAGGGTGGCCACTTTGAACTCTGTTGTTCTCTGTGGCACACCTCCTACTGCCTCATGGTACACTGGTGTTCCTGGATCTCTGCAGCACACCTCTGACTGCCTCATGGTACACGGTGTTCCTGGAACACAGTTTAAGAAACACTGATACAGAAAAAAGATCATGCTAGGCTGAAGGGAAACTGCATCAGTACTGGACTCATACAACAAAGATACCTAGAGACAGCCTCACATTCAGCACATCTACTTAGACAATTTTTCATTTTGGTACAGTACCAAAATGTAAATTTAGAGATTTTATAGCCATTTTCCAAATTGGATCCTGTCATTAATGTCTACACAAATAAATATATAATACATGGTCTTATGTCAAACAAACTTTTAGCTATGCTTTTTTAAAATGCACAGCAAATCAGGGGCTACGAGACTCCCTATTTTCGCTGAAGCAGACTAACACAGCTACCCCTCTGAAACCAAACACGATGTTTTTCAAAGTTTCCCACACAGAGTCATTGGCTCTCTAGTGCTGACCTGTAGCAGGTTTTGCGCCGCTTTGCTTCTCTATGAAGGGCCCCCAAACCCCACTCCCCGTCTGCTACGGTTAGTGCCGGACTAGCAGCAGGGAAGTGAAGCTGAGCTGCCCCTGACTGTGCTGCAAGCAGACTCGGGGGGGGCGGCTCAGAGAGGTTCGTTACTGGCGCTCACGCGCTCACTGCCAGGCCAGCGCGTGCCCGTACAGCG